AAGGAGTTTCAACTGTTTATACTGAGTTCCCCAGAGAAAGAAATTTTGTAGCCAGCAAAAAGGCCAGGGTTTGCCAATGTAGATGTGTTTAAAAAAAAAATCAGAGGCTTAAAGATAGACTGGATTTAATTATTGAAAGGTACAAAGCCAAAATCAGTCCTGGTATGTACAGTTGCTTTTGAAGGCAATGGAAAGTAGGCCCACTATTCAGCAGGGCTGAATATGTTAAATGCTATAGTTAAATGCTGAGCTACTCTGGTTCTGTGTTATGTAATTTGACTTTGTCAGGAGAGTAAATTCCTTGATGTGTTTTATATTTTTAGATTTCTTCTTTCTCTTAAACATCCCAGAATACATCTTGGGGAACGGTGCTCTTCCCCTATGACCCATAATGCGTCCCATGCCCTGTGGCAGTAACCCCTCAGGCTGATAGTGCTCTAAGAAACCTTTCTGCCCGTGATGAGTGCCACCCAAGCTGCAGGGCTGATGGCTGCCCAGTGCCAGCCTCAGCTGGGGCCGGGACAGGTGCCCCATTTACCTGACTAGATTGTTGGGGTTTCCCCACCTGCCCTTATACCTCCTGTTCCGCTGGGTTTGTGGACATGAGCCCCTTTGGGGTTTGCCTGTGGGAGCAGCTAGGGCAGGAGATGTTTTGAGCTCCTCTGCATATCATTGTTCCTCTGCACTCCTTTGTGCATGTGAAGATGAGCTTTTTAACCCCAGAACAAGAGTGATCTGAAATCAATTTCTACTATTACAGGGGTCAGCTTTCAGCACTCAGCAACCTGAAGCTTACAATCTTTTCATGACCACAGCTGTAGGTGATGGCATCAAACTGTGGGATTTAAGAACACTGAGGTAAGGCCAAGTTAGGTACCATAGAATAAAAAGGCCAGCTTTGTTTTTACTTAGAATTGTCATAACTTGCAGTGATATACAAGTAGGAAGATATACAAGTTCTTCCTCACATGAAGATGGAACTTCCTGTGTTTCAACTTGTCCCCATTACCCCTTGTCCTGTCACTGGCCACCACTGAGAAGAGTTTGGCCCCATCCTCCCTATGTTCACCTCTCAGGTACTTGCACATGTTGATCAAATCTCCTCTCAATCTTCTCCTCTCCAGACTAAGCAGGCCCAGCTCACTTAGTCTTTCCTCATATGGCAAATGCTCCAGTCCCTTAATCATCTTTGTGGCCCTGCGCTGGGCCCTCTCTATAAGCTCAATGTCCTTGTACTGGGGGGCCCAGAACTGCACCCAATAATCCACGTGTGGCCTCACTAGAGCTGAGTAGAGGGGCAGGATCACCTCCCTCGACCTGCTGGCAACGCTCCTCCTAATGCAGGCCAGGATCCCATTGGGCTTCTTGGCCATGAGGGCGCTTTAATGACTCATGGTTAACCTGTTGTCAACCAGGCCTCCCAAATCGCTCCCCACGGAGCTGCTTTCCAGCAGGTCAACCCCTAGTCTGTACTGGTGCCTGGGGTTATTACTCCCCAGGTGCAGGGCAGGACCCTGCACTTGTCCTTGTTGAACCTCATAAGGTTCCTCTCCGCCCAACTCTCCAACCTGTCTAGGTCTTTCTGACTGGTAGCACAGCTGTTGGGAGTTTGGTGTCATCTGCAAACTTGCTGAGGGTGCACTCTGTGCTGTTGTCCAAGTCATTGATGAACAAGTTGAACAGCACTGGGCCCAGTACTGATCCCTGCGGGACGCCACTGGTCACCGGCCTCCAACCAGACTCAGCCCCATTTATCACCACCGTCTGGGCTCTGCCGTCCAGCCAGTTCTCTATCCACATCATTATCCACTCATCCAGTCCACACTTCCTAAGCTTTCCTATGTGGATGTTGTGGGAGACTGTGTCAAAAGCCTTGCTGAATTAATTAATTAAAGGCTAATAATTAAAAACTAATAATAATTTATTTAACAAACCAAATAAAATATTAGGTAGATTTTTACTTTTGGTTCTCAGTTATATTAACTTACGTGGAAACCATTGAAGAGTCAAGATTTGTCAGTCGTGTCTTACCTACTATATATGTAGAATTCATTTTATTTATAAAATAGTATACTGAAGTGGTTATGAATGGTATTTCCAAAACAGCATGTTTTTCCTGCTAAAAGAGGAAAAATTAATATAAATCTTTAAATGGTGCTTTAAATATACATAATACGTTATTATAACCTCAGAATAAGATATTGCACTTTCTCCAAAAATCTTCTCATGCTGAACTTGAAAGCTGTGAGATGAGGAGAAATAGTAGTAGGAAGGGATAGTTGCCTAGCAAAGGCAACCCTTGGTAGAGTCTCTGTTGTATAGGCCGAAAGAATTATGTTCAAAAGAAAAAGGGATTGGAAGGGGAAGATGATTATGCTTAAATAATATTATTGTGTTTGCTTTGTGTATGTATGTTTATTGAAAGATATAATATATTTTTTCTAGTACTATGTTTTTTCTTCAGAAAATTTGTTTGTTTCAGTTTCAATTACTTAAACATTTCTGTGGTAAGAGTGTGTTAAGCCTATAGGGGGCATATATGTTCTTGCCAAAAATACTGCTGTGTTACCTGCACTGAATGTCAGAAAGTAATGAAACTAGAAACCACTGAGTCTGGAATCTGTAACGTTCTTATGTTTTTGTAATAATTTGTTCAAATTGTGATTCTAGAATAGTAATGAAAAAGTAGAGAGCTTTTTGCAGATGACTTATCTGTCTCTTCCTTTTTAAATATTAATATAAGTAGAACAGGTGACTGGTAAAATAGTTAGAAGTGTAAAATCTGGATAATCAATTAAATGAGTATGGCCTGGGAAGAGGGGAATAATTTATTTATGCTTTTGCTCCATATTTAGTTTGGCAGTCAGTGTAGTCTAGTGTCCACTGACTTCATTTAGTTAAACTTAAAAAATCAGTCCTTAATGATCCATATTTACAGATGTTGTGTATATGTTTGTATATTACACAGTCATTGATGATGTAGAGAAGAAATACAGAAATCACTATTTTCACTTGTTTTTCAGGAAAAAAAAACTTTAAAATGATTTTTTTTTCATCCCTCTGAATAAGGGTTGAATCGTCTGTATTTTAAAATCTCTTCTGGAGTACTCATAAGGAAGAAAACTATTCACTTTTTCCTAATGTGTTCACCAGGTGTTTTTCACATACATAATTTAAAATGGCTGAGTTTGGAAAGCTTCATCTTAACCTGGAACAAGGCTTCACTGCAGTGTCCGGCTTGCTGTACAGTTACATGGTTTGAAAATTTTTGGGTATTTTTGGTTCATAGATCCTGTCCAGTGAAACCCAGAACATTTCTTACACTGTTGTGTGCTTAGAGATTATTTTCTAAACAATCTAATTGTGGGCCAGTTCCTTAGATCTTTTAAAACTATTGATTTGTAAAGTCATCAGCCCTTACTGTGTTTGGACTGGTCTCTCTGGAATGATCTCTCTTTTTGTCCAGTGTTCTTGAAATATAGTCAAGGTAAGTCCACCTTCTGTTTGCAGTGCTGTGGGTAGTAGAGGCAGCTCCAAGATTTCAACATTATTGTCTGTTGTTTTTTTGTTCTAAATATCTTCTTCAGACATCCTCAGTCAAAGCTGTTTTATTGAGCTGTTCTATCTCCTAGTTACACTTCTGTGAATTCTATCCATTGTTACTTAACAATAGTGCAAAGTACAAAACTCTAATTAAATGAAAAGACAAAGAAAAAAATCCACTGTGCTGTTCATGAAAGGTGCAATTGAAAGCATGGGAAATTCTCCTCAGAACAACTGTTTCCCTGGGAATCTTAGTTGTTTTGTTTGGACATTTTCTTTGATGAAGGTTCCTTTTTTTTTATTTTTCTGACATGCAACATGCATTCCTTATATTGTAATTGACTGAGGAATTGGAGCAGAATGCTCAGGTTCTTTTTTGATCCTTACTTATAATAAAGCTTCAGTCGTTTTATTCTGGCCTGCAGCTTTAGAGGCTTTTTTTTCTCCTCCTTCTTCTCTGAGTTCCAAAAGAATATTTCCATTTTGTTTGTGTTGTCAAAACAAATGTTTTTCCAGTGAAAATTAATTTAGCTTTTTTTTTCTTCCTTTTTTTTTTTTTCTTTTCCTTGAAGCTGGTAAGACTATTTTGCACCTTCCATCCTCATCAACTGTGCTGGATAAAGCTGGGAATCCATCTGTCTTTTTGACTCTTGAAGATTTGGAGGCATTTCAAAGTTGCCTCAGAGACTGCCAGAAAGTCTTACTTGTTTCTCTGAAGGTGGTACAAGAAAAGGCTAAAGTGCCTGATGTTGTCAGCCATCCTTGCATAGCCAGGCCATCTTGCCAATTAGTGAGAGAATCTTGGACACTCCTAGTGACTTTTGGACTACTGGGACTTCTGCTTCATTTACTGTGAAATACATAGATTTGTAAAATTCTATCTGAAGATTTTGAGTATTTTAATATTTCTCCTCATCCTTTATAACTGTAGCTGCTAAGAAAAGTTCCAGACCAATGAACAAAGAACCAATGAGGTTAGATCTATCTGGGATAAAATCCTGCTCTGTCTACTGTTCTTCCAGTTTAGGATAATGAACAATCAGGCTTTCTGAATTCATGCATTGGGGTAAGACAATGGTCTTTGATCAGCTTCCAAGATATTTTGAAGAGTAATTTAAGTCTGTCTTGCCTAAAAGAACACCTGTTTGGAGAACAAACAAAAATATATATCCATGGTCCAAATTGGAAGCAGTGAACACGGTTTGTGAAGTACAATGGGAATCTGAAGAAATCCTAAAGAAGAAGAAATGAGACTTGCCAAGGAAGGATCAGACAAACTTAATTGGCAGGAGGTAATTGGTGCAAAAGGCTGATGCACAAAGGGTTTATTCATTGTTGTTGTTTGTTTGTTTGTTTTTTAAGAAATTAAATACTCCTTAAGATAAAACACTGGCTAATTGCCTATAATATACAAGAAACTTCATTATTTTGTCTCCTCTGCCTTAATTGAACTCATTTTGGAGACAGCTTTTCTTCTGAGGCCGAAAGCCTAGTGCTTCACTCCCTTTTAAAAAAAGTGAAAATGGAGCAACCCCAACTGCTATCCTAGCCTAAGTACCAATTTTAAGGACTCTGGCAGGCTCCAGCACCCAGGGATCTCTGTTCTCCAGGGCTTATCGATGAGGCTGCTGCTTTTTCTTTTCACAGGTTCAACCAGTAGTGAGGCTGAGTGTGTATGGCACACGCCCCCACACAAACACATATGCATACGCAGAAGACGCAGGCAGGGCTGGCTGCAGGTGAAGTGCGGCCAGAACTCACATAGCCACATCCCATCCGCTTCCTCTTCTCCAGCTCGTTGCGATTGAAATTCGCTAGTGAAAGCACACTCTCATTCTGTATCTTCACAAGCTCACGCACATTCGTGGATCTCTTGAGCATCAGCCCAGGCTTGCTGCACATCTAAGATCCCTGCCTGGATTCTGGACCTGCTGCTTGCCAGTTAGTTCAGCTTGAAGTTTGTTATGGAATTACAGCCTTCCCCACACCACATTAGAGCAAAACTATAAATGCTCTGCCCCCTAGCCCTAACAGTGTCCCAGGGGTGTATGGGTCCTATGACCCATGAATTAACTCCAGCTGCTATTGCTGAAACCCTCACTCCCCACAGTTGCTTGTATTGGACTCTACTTGCTGAAGTTGCTGGCACCACAGATAGAAGGGCTTTTTCACCTAAGATCTCTCTCCAGTTGTTGGAACGAATTTGCTCACTCCAGTCCCCCCTTGATAGACTGCTTGATCCATGAGGCTTCCAATTAGACCCTTACTCACCTCAGTTGGTAGCATCAATTCAAAATAAGGTACTCTGCACTTTG